GGGCTTCGGGTTTAGGCTTCGAGAAGGCCTCCAATATAGGGGCTTAGATAAATACATAAGTAAATAAGTAAAACAAATATATATATATATATATATATGTGTATGTATATATATATATATATGCACATGAGTGGCTTTACAGGGTATAGGATAATTATTGTAATTATACAGGGACTATAAGGGGACGCTACTAGCAATTATTCCAGACCTATGTTACCGGCAGGCAGTAAATTGAAGGCGGACCAGTCGCTTCGGGAATGTTTTCTTGGCTGTCTGAGGACATCCACTGCCACATAAACGGGCACAAACTACAGGCTTTCTTTGCGTGTGTCATCCCAAGGCGCTTGTGGTGGTTCTGTCAATGACCCATCGGTGCCGAAGTGGACATAACCCACAGGCCCTAAAGTAGTTCCTNNAGGTAACCCCAACAAGGAACTACTATGGGGCCTTTGGGTAACTCAGGAGGCCTGCATACTCACGGCTTCGTTGAGCGATGCAGCCGCTGCATGTAGCGTCACTTTCGCTGTGCCTGGGCTGTCCACAACCTAAGAGTATACCCGATGGCCCCTAAGTAGTTCCTTTTTGGGGTTACCTTATAGGATTCTATATATGAACCCCAAAAAGGAACTACTTCAGTTAGGGCCTATGGGTAATGGAATAGTGTCCCTATCATGCAGAGCTTTGCATGGCACGCCTTTCTCCCGACAGGAAATGAACATGTCTGTGACCGGGTCGCATGCACCGAGCACGGTGCAGGATTTGAGGTTCGAGCTTCCAGATCCAAGCGAACGTGCTTGAAGCAAACCCTTTTTGCAGGCGAGGTTCAGGCGCCTGTGGCAAAATGGCCTCGCTCGTTCTCAAAGTCCACCTGAATCCCAAGGAGCTCGGTTAAGGTGGCAGTAATAAGCTTCTGCATGTGGGTAGTTTTCTAAATTAGGGTCCCTTTTGTCCTTTTTATAAGGGTGCCGTACTCTATTGGGGACCTAAACAGGGACCCTAATTTAGAGAACTACCCATATGAGCATGGCCGTCCTGTGTCCAAATTCCAACATCCTATGCACGAGACTCTCCCAAAAGCGTCCTAGATACTGTTATGGGGGGAATACTTCCCTAAATCATAAGAACAACTCCTAATATAGAAACCCTACATTCTACTATAGTAGGTACTTTGGGCCCTTTGGGTGAACAGATTCAAATTCCGGCCTGCGCCGTTGTCCTGTGTGGCTCACGGGAGAAAGGAACCGTCTCATCCGACTCCACCATAGCGCCTTGCGTCGGTTTCTTAGCCCAAAGGGTCCTAGGTACTGTTATGGGGTTTAGGGTTTAGGGTTTAGGGGTTTAGGGGTTTAGGGTTTAGGGTTTAGGGCTATAGGGGTTCAGGGGTTTAGGGTTATGGGGGATACTTTCCCAAATGATGCTAACAATTCCCAATATAGAAACCCTGCATTCTACCATAGTAGGTATTTTGGACCCTTTGGGTTAGTTGCAAACCCTGAGAAAAGCTCCGATGGCATGCATCTGACAAGGCGTATACTTGAGCTTCGTGATCCCAGATAAATGAACCGTAGACCCTGCAGGTACCCAAGACCTGCCGCTATCGAACTGAGCCAACATCAGCAACTATAGGGCTTGCAGGGTTTCGGGTTTATAGGGTTTAAGGTTTGGTTTAGGGTTTAATTATACGGTTCAGGGTTCCTTGCCATCATGTCGAATCTCATCCCATCAAAATCCCTTCGCCGGAGGGCTCTCTGGGTCAAAGTATTCCACGAAGCCCTTGACAGCTGCGGGCGTCTCCGCCTCTAGGATCTGGGAGCATGAGCTTCCTTATAATATTCAAGGGCGTGAGTACGTGACATAGGGTTTGCATGGTGCATATAGTAAAACGCTATTGGGGATATAAGGAATTACTACGGGAGACGATTCTGAATCATTCCGACCCCCATATTGCAGCCTCCAAGCACATACGTGGGAGGTGTAAGGATTTGGGATTTCGGGTTTTGCGATTCAGGATTCAGGCTGGAACCGAGAGGTACTCAATTTTTGATTGAATTTGATTGGTATTTCGCAGATCGTTGGCCATTCTACCGCTGGCGCCCGAGCTACTTCTGAGTAAACCTCCAGACCGTTCTTCTGTGCTAACTTTCTGTCACGGACCCACGCGGATCAACCCGCGATACATGGAAGTGATGAATTCCAAGCGTCCAGGTGGTGGATTACGAGGTCACTTCAGTTCACGTGGATGTGGGATTCGTGTAAACCCTAAACCCTAAACCCTAAACCCTGGCAGGAAGGGATATTGAGATTGCAACTTCATGCAGATTCGAGCTGTGCTGGTCTCTGCCTTCAGGAGCTCATCGCGTTCTGTGATACATGTGCACACGCTGCACACCGTTGAGTTCGAATAGGCTTGCCATGCCCACACCCTCCTCAAACCCAGTGATGTTGGACGCCGAAAACTCATCTTGGAGAACTCTTAATGTAGGGGCCTTAATACTTAAAGTAGGATTTTGGGGGTTCCTGGCTATAATTATAGTATAAGATACCCCAAAACCCTAGTCTAATTCTTAAGGCCCCTTTACGATGCGAAAAGGTGCTGAAGTTCGGTACTGAAAACAAAGGGTCCAAAGGATACCGGCCCGAGTAGCTAGCCATGCTATGCCAGGCTTCAGGTTGCAGGATTTAGGGCTCTTGGGTTTAGGGTTCAGGGTTTAGGATTTAGTTATAGAGTTTAGGGTTTAGGGTTTAGGGTTTAGGAACTACAGTTTAGGATTTAGGGTTTAGGAAATAGAGAGTTTAGGGTTTAGGGTTTCAGGGTGTTGGATTTAGGAGACCCAAAGACCGTCTACAGTCGTACAGGAACCTTGGAAGGCTCCCTTTAGAGGGTTCTAGAAGGGTTCCTCTAAAGGGTTCTATAAGGGTATCTACTATAAGGGTTTATATAAGGCTCTATGCAACCTTCCTTTCTAGGGCTCTTGGCTAGCCTGGAATAGGTAGGTTCTGCGGATTCCAGGTATGTAGGGTACTAAGAATCCTGGCCATTTCCCTCTTCCAGGTCGTCTCGGAAGTATCAGCAACGTGTTGCACGATCGTAATGAGGGGTATATCACATTGAAACCGTACTGGGCATTCGAACCAAGACCGTCTCAAAGCCGCAACAGAAATAAGTCTTGACATCCATTCATCCTACAGTCTTCGCCGGTCACAATACTATATAAGTTCTGCTCTATTGAGGGCCGCCTCCCAGGTGATCACCAAAGATTTCTCGGAGGTTTCTTCACGCCGATGCACCTTCGCGATGGGCTCAGGACTACGACTTTGGCAATGGCGCCAGGATCTGCAGTGATAATTTTGAGGGCTTCGGGTGTAATATAGGGGCCTTAGTAATTAGAATATGCTTTTGGGGCCCCTTCTACTATAATCATAATAAGAAGCCCCCAAAACAGTCTAGGTAATTATTTAGGCCCCTATTGTAGTCTAATTATCAGAAGGAGCCCCCAAAATACTCTAGGTAATTATTTACTAAACCCTAAACCCTAAACCCTAAAACCCCTAAACCCCTAAACCCTAAACCCCTAAACTAGGCCCAGTGTAGGCCCCTATGGTAGGGTTTGCCTCGCCCTTCCCGTCTGGAAAACCCAGCTCTGAGGATCCGGTCCCGGGCGCCGCGTGAAACTAGAGGTTTAGGGTTCATGGTTTAGGGTTTAAGTTTAGGTTTAGGGTTTAGGGTTTAGGGTTTAGGGTTTAGGGTTTAGGTTTAGGGTTTAGGGTTTAAGGTTTAGGGTTTTTGGTTTAGGGTTTAGCGACATTTACAAAGGTGGACGACGGCCACAATGCCCCAAACCCTGAACCCTTACAGAGCCCTCCTCCTCCTTAAACCTTTACCCTAAGCCATAAACCGTGAAGCCCTCAGAATTTGGAGCTAGAAAACTGAAACTTGTGCCATCGACAAGCACTGCGAACTGGGATCGCTTTCATGCCGACCCCGGATGAAAGTCTGCTCCTGGCTTTGGACCTACGAAAACAGAGTTTGTGATCCTTGACACAGCCTTGACTCAGGGAGTGACACCATGTCCGAGGAAATAAAATACTTCCCGCCTGCATGGACGAAAGGAGGCAAGAACCATAATCCCAAGCCACTGTAGATACAAGGCTGAACTCTGAACTATACAAGGCGGACACCCGCAAAGCCTAAAAGGACGCAGGATGTGTCAGAGTCTTGGGCTCAGTGTGTAAACATCTGATTAACATCCATCCTAAGTTAGATTTGCAAGTGCTATGGAACTTCGACCAATTCCCGCCTCCACTTTGAGATTCTTCAGCTGAGATGGCACAGTCGCCATGGTCGGCGCGCGCGGGGGCAGGTGTGCGACGGTCGGTGGCAGGATTTCAAGCCCAAGTTGCTGCAGCAGGATGCTGGAGTTGTCGGCAGCGGAGTGTTAGGGTTTAGGGTTTAGGGTTTAAGGGACTTCAAGCTTACTTAAAGGATCATGGGACTGAGTAAGTAAGGTTACAAGTCCCTAAATTGGGGTTACAAGTATAGTTACCTTAGTTCTGTTAACCCTACTTACTAAGTCCCATGATCCTTTAAGTATATTATAAACCTCAACTAGGCGACGGCTTGGGCTTGGCCCCAAGTCGGGTAATTGATCGATGCACTTGGACGGTCTCTGGTTCTTCTGAGCACATGGTACTTGGAGGGTCGGGAGACTTAGTAAATGGTTATTTTGTAAACTTATAAGTACTATAACCCCAATTAGTGTCCCTTTTAGGGTACTTATAAGTCTACTTATTGCCTACTTACTAAGTCTCCCGACCCTCCAAGTAGGCTTCGTGGCTTCCGGGGAGAACGCCTTTTCCGGGTCTCAGGCCTGGGGCTTTGGTCAATTACGAGGGCTTGAGGGTGGATGCGATGAAGCCTTGGGGCCCCTTGTGCCTCCTGGCTCAGCACATGTCGTCTACTGTTGAAGTCGATAGCTCCCAATCACAGTGCAGCGTGGTCGATCCGTGTACTAAGACTCCTAATGCATTCGTTCTGCAGAATTCCGAAACTTACGAACCAGCTCACAATGCAGTTTTGCTCTTCACGGCGGGCCCATCTGCTCGACTTCACAAGATTGCATGCACAAAATACCCTTGCCGCCGACAAGCACAACAACTCTTAAGACAGATCCGGTGCCATGTTCAGATAGCCCTACGGCCACTGGAAGATCTACAGAGTGGTTGAAGCCGGTCATGGGTATCTCAGAAGTGTCCTGCGATTGGCATCAAAAGGGGGCCTGTGATACTGCACAGGCCAGCACGTGCCAAGATTGCAGGACTCCTCTTACTAATGACAATATTTTCTGCACCTCTGTTGAAAAAGCCCGACGATCTCCGCCTTTCCACGGTAGACCTACGCTCACCACTCGACTAAGTGGTGTAGCTGCGGAACTTCGGGCAACGCTACTAATACCCGAAACCCCTAAACCCCCTAAACCTTCTAAACCCTAAACCCCCCAAACCCCAAAACCCTAAGAGTAAGACTAGGGGTTCCAAAGCTGGTCGAAAGGCAGAAGCATCGCCGAAACACCGGAGCACCATCCCAGCTTCTGCTCCTCACCCCACTTTCGGGTAGACGCTTCCTCCCATGCTCCTCTGAGCTTTCGGGGGAGCTGCCCCGCTCCACGAAATTTCGTGGCAACTTGTTCCGGGAGCCGAACTCTCAGGGATCTATATGACCGGTCGAACCAGGAAGCCCCCGAATCACGGAACGATCGGCGAACCTTTGCACAATTTTCCTTTCTGCAGCTTCCCTCATCCAGGGTGGCATCGTAGTCCAGATTCTTCATCAACCTTCGGGAATTGTCCAAACTTCTCAAGCATAGCAAGTCGCGAGCCCATGCTAAGCAGCACAACTTAACCTGTCATAGTGTCGATGCCACTTCACAGCCCTATTTGATCTGCGTGCCAATTTGAAGCCTAACATACGAAGATTACAGCACAACTCCGCCAGATTCAAAGAGCACCTTCACTTCCACAAAGGGGAACTTACATGCGGCTGGGAGATGAAGGACATGATATGCTTGCCGAAGGCTCAAATTCACGCATTATGCCCAAAGGCTCCATGTACCCTTATAGTAGTTACCTTAAAGGGGTCCCTATATAGGTACTTTAGGACTGAAGTATCTACTTTAAAAGTACATGGAGCCTTTGGGATGGAGGGCAGAAGCAGATGGACATTCGGAGTTCCACGATCAGCCCGAATCCGCGAGTCATGCTCGGCTAATAGATGAATGAACTCTCAGGCCCCCCACCGATCAAGCACGAGCTGCGAAGATTCGGCTGGTAGAAGAGGGTGAGGTGGCGGCGGCCGGCCGGCCTGCAATACAAGTTCGGCAAAGGCTCTCAGAAAAACTCGCGCAGCCCTTAAGAGCCACCCCAACCCCCCAGGTACCTACTATATAGGATACTAGAGTCCCTAGGGCCCTACTTGGAGGGTTTAGGGTTTAGGAATTAGGCAATAAGTAGACTTATAAGTACCCGAAAAGGGACCCTAATTGGGGTTATAGTACTTATAAGTCTAAAAAATAACCACATTTACTAAGGCCCCCGACCCTACATAGTAGGGCCCTACATAGTAGGTACCTGGAGGGCTCTGGCAAGGCCTCCAGGTACTTCGGTTCCGAGATGGCCAGGGCTTCTTCCGTCGCTTTCTCCGGAATGGCGGGTGTCTCCTTGCTCGGAACCGGGGCTTTCGGGGTTCAGGGTTTAGGG